CCACTCACAAAGTACCTTTTCAACAAATAAGCCCACAAGTAAGTACAGCGAATCTCTGTTCGCTAGCACGACGAGCGGCTGCCATTTTGCAATCAGTAAGAAATTGCCAGAATGTCCGAGTCATTAGGTGCGAAAGTGCATTTAGCGCCGTAATTTTTACCCATATAATGGAGTGAAGAAACAGATGGAAAGCGTGAACATTTTGAATAGCTTGTACATAGTGACCATAGCTTCGTCGCGTTAACACGGGCCTCCGGAATCATAAAGACAATGTTTTTCTGGCCCCCAAACATTGGTCATCTTTTTAGTCAAAAGAAACGTTTTAATCCACAATCCTGCAAGTTCAGTTTGTCTAGTATCTTATATATTCAAACAGAAATCGCAACGAAATGACTTGGTGACAGTATTTAAGCTGAACGGTTGGGCTACCTACCTACCTACCTATAAATCAACAACGATTTCCTCAGTCAGCGCTGGTTGTGGCCAGTGGTGGCTCCAGAATGTGAATGTCCGACAGCGCGATCTGAATGGCGCCAACTAGAGTCCCGATCAGGGTCCCTCAATAAACATTTCTAGTGGGAGTTCTCTCATGGCCTACGATGGCCCAAAATTGTGCTTTTAGACTACAATATTAGGAAATGGCAATCAAAATAACGTTTTGGTCGGTCGACGTGGGGTCCAAGCCAGTCCGAAAGGGCAAATGCGAGTCGCGCGGTAGGCCCAGCCCAAGCGATGGGCCTATAAGGTCAAACCAGCCTTAATGTCATGAATCGATGAATCATTCAGAATGTATACTAGTAGAGCGGCTAAGGAGAAAAATTGTGCACTTTTGGAAGAAAGTATAAAACTTCCCACAGTGATGCTATGACACCTAAGGATCATTAAAAAAAATAGACCCCAAAATATAAGCCGCTTAGTGGCCGCCATCTTGAAATTCAAAGTGGCCGCCAAAATATTGGATTTTTATCAATAATCTTCATATTTACAGCACCTAGCACTGTCATTCAAAGGCTTTTACCTATGTTTTCAATATCAGGGAGTATTATGCAATCATCAGAAATTATGTCAGATTACCGCCATATTTGATTTCAAGATGGCTGCCAAAATATTGTTATTTTTGTCATTATCATCATATCTAAAGTAAGGTAACACAGTCAATCACACATTATTAGGAAATTATGTTAGAAGGCCGCCATATTGGATTTCAAGATGGCTACCAATGAAAGTTCCTTTTTCAATTGTATGAAAAATTTCTCGAACGTGTAGCCACTTACTATATCGGACTATATCGATGTCGTATCAGTAGGTCATCCACAGAGTCATATACGATAAAGGGGCATATCTCACTATCAGATACTTCTCTCATACGACTAACTTGTATTAAAGAATATATATATATATATATATATATATATATATATATATGTATGTATGTATGTATGTATATATTCAAAGAAAGTTAAATACAGAAGGGTAAATTTAACTGTGTTAACGGCTATCTTTATTATTATATACATATATATATATTTTCATATATATATATATGATATATATATATATATATACATATATATATATA